TGCTGTCAAGTGGTTAGCAGGCCTCTTATAAGGCAGCAGTGGCTGCTGCTGTGGCAGTGAGCTGCCCCTGTGATGGCAGTGACTGTGGCAGTGGCTGTTGTGGACCACTTGCCTGGCATTCATGTCTGTGGCATTAGTGGGGGCCAAGGTTTGCAGCTGGTGAGTTCCCCTGGTGCACTGCAGGCATCAGTCAGGTGTATGGGGGGCTGTCCATGGCTGGTGAAGTCCCTGGGCATGCCGCTGCTGATTCTTCTTTCTATAATTCTTAAAATAGAGTCTTTGGTCATTGATTTTATGCCTTTCTTTTCTTCTAGTATAAGCATCTAAAATTTTACATTTTCCTCTAAGCACTGCTTTACTTCTGTCCCCAAATATTTTATGTTTTGTTTTCATTTTCATTTTCATTTAGTTCGAAATATTTTCTGATTATCCTTACTATTTCTCTTTTGACCCATGGGTATTTAGAAGTGTGTTGTATATTTTATAGATTTTTCTAGATATCTATCTATCTATCTTTTTTTTTTTTTTGTGGCTGGCCAGTACAAGGATTGAACCCTGGACCTCAGTGTTATCACCACCACCCTCTAACCACCTGAGCCAACCCTAGATGTTGTAGTTTTGATTTATGATTTTATTCCATTTTGCCAGAAAACATATTCTGTACAATTTAAATCTTTTAAAATGTATTTAGTCTTACTTTATGGTTCATCATTTTGCCTGTCTTGGTGAATGTACCATGGGTATTGAGTATAATGTACATTCTTTAGTTGTTGGGCACCGGGTTGTATAAATGTCAATTAAGTCTGATAGCAGAAAATATAGTTCAGGTAGTCTGTGACAAGGGTAAGCAATCTTCCTGTAATGACAGAAAATAAATATTTTAGGTTTGTGGTCCATACAGTCTCTGTTGGACTACTCAATTCTGCATTGTCGCACAAAAGCAGCCATAGACAATATGTAAATGAGTGTTCATGGCTATGTTCCCAGTAACCTTTATTTACAAAATCAGACTGTGTGGGCTTGTAGTTTGCTGACCCCTATTCTGTGGCCTTACAGATTTGCTTGGTCTGTTTGTTCTCTCAGTTATGGGGAGGAGGAGTGTTATCATCTTTCAACTGTGCTATTATGGATTTATTTATTTGCTCTCTATAATTTTGCCAGTTTTTATTTCACGTACATTGAGGATCTGTTATTAGGCATTTATAATATTTATGATTGTTATGTCTTACTAATGAATTGGCTCTTTTATCATTATGAAATGTCCCTTTTATCTCTGACAATATTCTTTCTCTTGAATCTGCTTTGTCTAATATTAGTACAGCCACTCCAGCATTTTATAATTACTGTTTACATGATTCAGTGATACAGCTTTTCCATCTTTCTGCTTTCAAACTGTCTGAGTCCTTATATTTAAAGTATGTCTCTTTATAGTTGAAACTTGTACTATATCCAGTCTAATAAGCTGAGACTTTTAATTAGAATGTTTAGTTCATATATATTTAATGTAGTTATTGATACTGGTTGGATTTAGCTTTTGGTTAGGTCTTTTTCCCTCGCTCTGTTTTTCCTTTCCCGACTTTTTTTTTTTTTCCTTTTTGTCTTTTTTTACTGACCAGTAACAGGATCGCAACCCTCGGTGTTGCGCCCGCACCACACTCAGCCAGTGAGCGGGAACCGGTCTCCACATGAGATCCGAACCCTCGGCGGGAGCGCCGCTGCGCTCCCAAGCAGCGCACTCTCCAGTGCGCCACTGGGCCGGCCCATCCTTTCCCAACTTTTTATAGGGAGGTAGTAGAGATTAGTCAGGTATATTTTAGAATTCCATTTAAATTTCTCTGTTGGCTCTTTATTTATATGTTTATTCATTTACTTGTTGGTAGCTGGTCAGTACAGGGATCTGAAACCATGACCTTGGTATTACAAGGCTGTTCTCTAACCAACCAACAGAGCTAACTGGCCAGCCCTTGTTGTTGGCTCTCCAACTGTATATCTGTACATTTTTTTCAGTGGTTGCTATGCGGCTTGCAATGTACACCCCTACCTTTTTAGTCTTCTTAGAGTGAACATTTTAGCACTTCACATAAAATGTAAGAAACTAAGCATACAGTTCTGTTGACTCCAGTTTTTCACACTGTATCTGTCACGTTACATGTACAAGTGTTATAACCCCCAACATAGTGTTGTAGTTTTTGTTTTATGTAGTCATGAGTATTTTAAAGAAATTAAGACAGATAGGAAAGAGAGAGTTCTGATATTAATGTACTTATTTCCCATTTCCAGTCTTCTTCATTTCTTCCTGAAGGTACAGATTTCTATCTGCCATTGTTCCCTTCAGCCTTAGAACTTCCTTTAGCGTCTCTTGTAGTCCAGGTTTGGTGACAACAAACTGATTTTAATTTATTTTAAATTTGTCTTTATTTTACCTTCATGGTTTAAAGGTGTTTTTGCTGGATATGGAATTCTAGGTCGACAGTTCTTTTTTTTTCTTTTCAGTACTTTAAAGGTAGTATTCTATTTTCTTCTAATCTCTGTTGTTTTTGACAAGAAGTCAGTCGTTCTTTGTATTGTTCTCTGGTATGTACTGTGTTTTTTTTCCCTAGAAGCTTTCAAGATTTTCTTTTAATTTTTGGTTTTCAATAGTTTAATTATTATGTGCCTAGATATATTTGTTTGTGTTTATCCTGCTGGAGATCCTTTGAGCTGGAGATAGTTGCGCTAGTTACTATGTGTCTTTCACTACATTTGGTAAATATTTCGCCATTGTTTTCCCACAGGTCCCTGAGGCTTTTTTTTTTCTTTGTAATTCAGATTGGATAATTTTTATATATCCAGCTTCATATTCACTAATGATTTCTTCTGTCATGTCCAATCCACTATGAAGCTTACCCAGTGAATTTTCAATTTTATCTATTGATGCTTTTCCAGGTCTGGAATATTCATTTGCTTCTTTTTTCATAGTACCCTCTCTTCTGAGAGTTCCTAAGTGTTCAATGATGGTTCATATAGTCTTCTTTTCATTCTTACATATATTTTTTATAACCACCCCACATTCTTGTTTCTATTTCCAACATTTGGGCCATCTCAGAGTCGATCTACTTTGTTATAAGAACACAGCAGTTCAGAGGAGCTAGAGTGGCTTTCCTGAGGTCACACCATCAGCGGCTGTTGGGGAGGTCTCCATCCCAGCCTCGTACTGCAGATCACTCAGGTTTTCCTCTGCATGGCACTCTCTCCACAGTCTGTCACAGTGCTTCCCGGGAGGTTTACCATGTAGGAGAAGCAATATGGATAAGTAAATGGATTTTCTGGCCAAGTTATGTAGAGAAGATCGATCTATGACTGAATCTGGGAGCTGTTTCCTGTAATGCTAAATTCTTAAGTATCTCCTATGAAAAAGAGCTTTTGCTCAGAACAGGAGAGCTGTGCTGTAGTGCTGCTGCTGCTGGCGACGGAGCAGCCACGCTCTTACCAGGGGAGCAGGGACAGTGTGAAGTAAATGTGCTTTGTTTCCCTTTCAGCTCTCACGTGGCACCGGCTACCACCAGCAAGGAGGAAATCAGGTTTACTTTAGGGCTGGCCTTACTCTTCTTGTGATTTCAGGACACAGCCTCTAAAACATTTGTCTTTTCACCCATTAGCTTTGACCAAATATTTCCTTTCCAATTTTAAGAGGCTTATGATGCAAATGACAGGATGAAATATTTGCGCTGGCATGATAACGTAGAAAGAATAATGGTTAATTATAGCTAAAAAGTAGTTAGTGCTTACCATGTGCTGGGCACTATTCCAAGAGCTTCTTGTGTATTAAATCCTCACAATAAGCCACTGAGGGGAAGAAATATTATCCTTTTATAGTTGATAAAACTAAGACATAGAGATTAAGTGACTTGTCCAAGGTCACACAGATAAAAGGTGACAGAACTAAGATTCAGACTCAAGCAGTCAAACCCCAGAGCCCACATCTCAGCTGTTTTTACATCTAAGAAAGAGAGGCTTGCTTCTGACTCTGGCAGCCTGACTTCGGGAACGTTTACTCTCCCTGCTGACTCAATGTGCCTGTCCCCTCTCTCCCCTGCAAACATTGATCAAAGTCTGTGCCCTCTTTTCCCTGCAGCCTCAGAACCCTTCTTGGCAGTGACCAGGTGGTCACCCCCAACAGTCACAGTTAAGGAGATCCTGCTTGCCCCAGAGTAGATCACCCCTCATGACCTTCGTTCCCCTTCTTCACTGTCCAGAGCTCACTTGCACCAGCATGGAATGAGCCAGACAGGTGGAGATGACTAGTGACAGAGTCTGAGGACAGGACCAGGGAAACAGTAAATGAGATGTGAGGAGAAAGAGAAGAAATTTAAGAGGCTAAAACAGCCTCCTCTTGCCGGTCACTTGCCTGCACTGAGCTTTTCTGTCTCTGCGGCTCTGCTTATAGCCAACTCCGTGGAGACAGTGCCCGTAAGTCTGCGGCCCAGGCCTGCCTGCTCCTGGACTCCAGAGAGCTCTATGCACGTTTCCTTGCGGTGGATCGTGACAGACCTCGCCAGCCCTGGTAGTGCAGGTCCTGCTGCTGTGGGGGCTGACCCAGAATACTGGATATTCTTGTTTTAGTGACAGGACACTGCGGAATCATCAGTCCTTGATTGCCTTCTACAAGAGCACGAGTTTTAGAGCTGCAGGTTGTCTGTGCCAGGAAACATGGAACAGTTTATTTGTGGCAAAACATCTTACCAGAGAGATGTGGTAGCTTTAATTTTAATTTTTTAAACTAAAACCTAGAACTGCTTTTGCGAAGCTACAAATTAGGAGGAAGACAGGGGAAAGGCTGTGAGAGACTGAGATTGTAAGGTGTGAAGTCTCATATTGCTGGTGCTTTTTTGGTTTTTTGCCCCCAATGCCATTTCTGTTTTCCTAGTGTCATGCAATTTTCTAACCGGAAAGGGAAAGGATTTTGCTGACTTTTCATTCAAAACATCTTTTTAATACTGCTTTGTTTCTTCATTGCCCAGGTTTTTAAGGAGGAGAAGTACTTGAAAGAGGCCATGGAGTGCAGTGATGTGATTTGGCAGCGAGGTTTGCTACGAAAGGGCTATGGGATCTGCCACGGGACTGCTGGAAATGGCTACTCATTCCTGTCCCTTTACCACCTCACACAGGATAAAAAGTACCTCTACCGAGCTTGCAAGGTACTAATGTCTCTATCCAAGCAACTTCTGAACTCCCCAGATATGCACAAAGTCCAGAAATACAACTCCTCTCCCTTCTGTAGTCTGTTTCTCCCAACTCTGTCATTTCCTATATTTCCTCTGGCACAGCCTTGTCTCTGGCCTCTCTGTGCCATGGCATCTGTGTCTGTAAAATGGGGATAACAAATGTAAATGACTTTCCGAGGTCACACAAGTTCTGGAATCACACACACTACCTGATTAGAATAACCATCTGTAGGGCCAGCCCGTGGCTCACTAGGGAGAGTGCGGTGCTGATAACACCAAAGCCACGGGTTCAGATCCCTATGTAGGGATGGCCGGTTGCTCACTTGGGAGAGTGTGGTGCTGACAACACCAAGTCAAGGGTTAAGATCCCCTTACCGGTCATCTTTTTGGGGAAAAAAAAAAAAGAGAGAGAGAGAGAATAGCCATCTATACCATTTATTAGATTTATGATTTTGGGTACATTTCTTCTTCAAGCCTCAGTTTCTTCATTTGTAAAAAGGAAAAAAAAAAAAAATACTACCCATCTCCTTAGGATGTTCCAAAAAGAATTAATTGGGTTAATGTGCAGATCATCTGGAATTGCCCCTGCTTCGGGTCCTCAGTGGTTTCTCGTGCACCGCATAACCCATGCTGCTCCCGAGTTTACAGAGCCCTGCGCCTGGCCCTCGCCGGCCTCTGTTCCCTCATCAGGTCCTTGTAGCCCACCTCCTGGCCCACGACACGACAGCCACACCGGCCCTCTTTCTCTAGTGAACAGAGTGTGTCACACTGTTCCCATTTCGTCAAGAATGCTCTTTTCCCATGAAATTTGCATGGTGGCTCCTCGCCATTCCAATCTTAGCTTAACTGTGACATTCTCAGACAGGGCCTCTGAGATCTCCCGGGTGGAAGGGTCACTTGTCATTCCTTGAATAGTTTTGCTTGTTTCTTGCATGTGTTGCACCAGTAGAACGTGAGCTCCGTGGTCTTATTTGTCTAGGTCACCCTCCCACCCTGGTACCTAGAAGAGCCTGTGGCTCCAGGTAGAAACTTGATAAATATGCATTTGATGTGTGAAAATGAAAGGAACAAACAAGGCCTAGTGAATGTGTGCTGGGGTTTCTGTTACTACACACAGTCCACAGAGTGTGCCCACGGGCAGCGGAGGGAAGGCTGAAGTGATGTGCCTCGGGAGGCCTCCCGTGGCCCTGATAGGTAGAGGCATCATAGCTGCCACAGTCTTCATGCTTTTTGGACAACGGACATCTGCCACTATTATGAAGGCTTTTGTCAACCCAAATAGAATGGAGTCCTCGTTCGTGCCCCTAGGAAGACACACACGTCTCTGTGGCACCCGCTGTCACAGAGAAACACTGTGGAAGTACATAGAGAGGGTGGCTGACCTGGTCATGGGAGGCCAGGAAGTGACATGAGGCCAAGACCTGAAGGACAGCTAGAAATTAAGCAAAGGGGGACGAGGGAAGATTGCCTGTTTGTAGAAGAGGCGTCAGGCAGCCGGGGGACTGTGTGGAGTTGACTGTGGCTGGAGCGTGAGGGATGGGGCAGAATGGGACAGGCAGAGAGGCAGGAGCAGCTGGGTTCTGAAGGTCCCTCAGCCCTGACAGTGATCACAGCGGTGGATGACAAGTAAACATGGGGAATCTGCAAAGACTTTATGAGGGTAGGAACATGGCTGGATTTTCAAGTGGCCTGGGAAGGTGGTGTACACCCCTGATAGGGAGAGTGGCTCGTGCCAAGCCACAGAAGCACAGAGCAGCTCAGCGTGTTCCTGAAGCCCGAGCGCTTCTGCACTGTGGAATGCAAAGAGGAGTGCAGGCGACAGGCGAACTTGGACAGGCGGGCAGCGGCCTCCCTTCAGTCCGCAGTCCCTGCCTGCCCACACCTTCCAGTCACCGGGCCGGGACCCACTCTAGGCCAATTATTGAGGGACCCCCAGGTACCGGGTCAGACTCCTTTCTTAGAAAGTTGTTGTGGTCACAGTGGGAAGAAGGAGGCAGAAGCTGGTGTCCCCAAATTGCGGTTTAATAACTAATGCAAGGAATATTGATGTATAAACCAGCTCATTGGATGAGATTAAAAAGGAGAGATTTAGATTTAGAATGTAGAACCCACAGAATTTAGTGCATTTTTTCTAACCTGAAGAAGATGGAAATATCTGAATGTCTCCCTGTTGTCTGACTAAGAAAACCAGGTGCGGGCCGGCCCGTGGCTCACTCGGGAGAGTGCGGTGCTGATAACACCAAGGCCCCGGGTTCGGATCCCATATAGGGATGGCTGGTTTGCTCACTGGCTGAGCGTGGTGCTGACAACACCAAGCCAAGGGTTGAGATCCCCTTACCGGTCATCTTTTAAAAAGAAAACCAGGTGGAAGGTACATCAAACAAGCTAAAAGGGTTGGCAGATTTGGAGGCAGAAAGCAGAATAAATTTTATTTTACATGTGCTGAATTTGATAACAATTGTGTTTATTATGATACTTAGTATACAAATGACAAATTTTAGCTTAAGCAAAAAGAGAAATTTATTATAACAATACAGAAAAACCCATTGAAGAAGTGTGAGGAGAGGGGCAGGGAGCTCAGAGGAAAGAGCTGGGAGCTGGGGCCAGGGTTTCAGGAGGCAGGTGGTGGCCACGCCGCGGCTGCAGGGGGAGGAGTGGGGCGCGGCAGCTGTGGCAAGAGAAGTGGCCATGGCCAGCACATGTTGTGCTTTTAGGAGTGGGACTGAGAGGCCTGTGCCAGGGCTGAGAATCCATGTTTCCCAGCTGAGGCCAGAGAAGGTAGCCAGGGCGAGCTGCAGGTACTTGAAGGCAGTTCCATAGCTAGCGTTTTAATTCAGGATGGGGCACGTGTTTCGAGTCACTTCTGGAATTATGTGAAGGGGCAGAGGCAGCTGCCTAGGAAGGGCACAATGTGTGGCGTTGCTGGCTTTCCACTCCAGTCTTCCCTGCCACGTTTTGAGGCAGATGCCACCTTACAGACGAGAAAACCGACAGGGAGAAGTGACAGCTTGCCACTGTCCAGTCTAGAGCCCATACACAGCACTGTCGCCGGGGAACCCTCCTTCTCTGACCCTTGGTGAATTTATTGCAGTCTCGTGTGTGCCTTTTCACCCAGTGAAAGCACCTTTCCTGAAAAGAATTGTCTTCTCTTTAGTTTGCAGAGTGGTGTCTCGATTATGGAGCACATGGTTGCCGCATTCCTGATAGGCCCTATTCCCTCTTTGAAGGTAAGAGTGAGGAAAAGCTACAGAGTTAAACATTTGGGTGAGTGAAGTCAGTCCTGCTGTCTGTGGATGAGCACGATTGCATTTGATCCTTGAGCAGTGACTTCAAAACTATAAAATAATAGTGAGCCAATCAGTTTGGCTGAAAATTATATTGCGTCTCTTTACCTTACCTGTTTGTGCTCCTGAGAATGTCCTGCAAATATGCAGACAGAACACAGAAGGCTGCTGCCCAGCAGAAGGGATGATGGGTCCACGCCTCCATGCTTGGTGTGTAATACTGTGAACGTAATGTTCGTGTGTTGCAAGGAAGCTTGCATAGCTTAAATGTGTCTATAATTCAAATCACATAAAGTGTGGATTATTAATATTAGCAATTAAAAGTATTTGTAATTAGAAATATTAGTCAATAATTAGAAAAAAATAATGAGTGAATATTGAAGGACATTCTGAAGAAGATGACCAGTAACGGGAAGTTAGTAAAAGCAACAATAATTAACAGAGTTTGCTGTAGGCACAACAGATAGGATGTAATTCAGGGAAACAGGACAGAAGTCCTGCAGAAAGAGCCGGACATTTCTTATATTTATACGGGGCGGGGGGGTGAATTGGATACTTTCTAACATAAGACACAGAAATCAAAGGGCAAGTGTAAAATGGTGTTGGGATAAATTCAGGATAACTTTTAGTCTTGTTTTGTTTTTTGGCGGCTGGCCAGCATGGGCATCCACAGGTGGTGCTCTAGGCAGCTGGGCTACTGGCCAGCCCTGATGACAACTTTTAATTGCTTTACAGCCACATCTTATATCAATCTCAAAAGAGGCCACATACTGTGATTCCACTCACGTGAGGCCCTCAGCAGGCAAAGCCAATCTGGGGGCACTAAATCAGACCGGAGGGGTGGGGATGGCCCCGCAGAGTGGTGTGGGAACTTCCTGGGTGATGGGAATGCAGCATATTTGTTTTACACAGATGTGTGCATCTGTCAGAACTCAGAGAAGTGCACTTAAGATTTGTGTGTTTTGCTGGGTGGGAATTTTACATCAAAAGAAAAATTGTAAACAAACAGGACCCTATGAGGGAGGGATTGTTCTGCCATAAGTGGGAGGCAGGAGGGCTGCAGGCCGATGGTAGTGGCCTTCCCACCCCACACCCTTCACATAAGTCAAGGTGAAAACCTGTTGCTTAATTAATTTGGCGGGGTATTTTGACCAAATAAATTTGTTTTTTAAAAATAGTGTTCTTAGAACCTAAAGAAGATGTAAGATGCAACTTTTTGTTTGTGCTGAAATATCATAACTAGCAGCTTCCATAACTTTTTGGTAGCAATTATATATCATCTTAAAGTTTCAGGATACAAGATTAAAGCCCAGAAGCCACTTTTTAAAAAATGAGATAGTGAAGAAAGCCGGTATCATGACCTGCTGGGTGCTAGTATAAGGATTTCTTTCTTTGTTTTTTTTCAATGAAGACATTTTTAAAGTCCTCCGCACCTTTCCCACACCTTTACAGCCCCTGGTAAAGGAATTGGTTGGAAGTCAGCTTCTGTCAATGCTGCCCCTGTGCCTGTTCACAAAAGGCTCGCGTTTACGTTGCAGGCATGGCTGGCGCTATTCACTTCCTCTCCGACGTCCTGGTGCCGGAGACGTCGCAGTTCCCAGCATTTGAGCTTGGCTCTTCGAAGAGGATTTAAAAGGTGCAAAAAGATAACAAATACCGGTTTGGACCAAACACCACCAGATTGCCGAGTGCCTGACATAGACCAACCGTGAATCCTGAGAGAGAAAAGCAGAGCAAACACCCTCAAGTTACAGCATGAGTGACAGAAACCACCGTTGGCGTTTTGTCACTGTGTCCCCTCACTGGTGTAAAATACAAGTCCCTCACCCCAGACGCTCTGTAGTGTTTGCATGTTTCTTGGTGTTTGTTGTCTGTAGGTGTAAGTTGTTCTAAAGGGAAACCCTTCTGCCGCACAAGCTCGTAGCTGGCTGTGCCCGCATGTACATAACATGAAGTGGGGGTCTTCCACGTGGACACAGAAGGGAACAGTCAGGTGATGTATCATATCAGGAAGAGGTCTAGGGTGACAGCCTCGTGACAACACTGTCAGCATTCTCTGCCGGCCCCTTTCAGACGAGCACGATTCCCTCCTGTTCCACTCCAGAACCCGAGAACATGCAGCCGATGACGGTTTGCTGGGGCGCTTGGCGAGCTGCTGCCACGTGTCTCCTCTCTGTTCTGTGCTCCCCTCTGTGTTCTCGAGAAGCCAGGGCGCAGCATGCACTGTTAGGGCTGCCACCCTCACAGAGGTTCCACGTACAGTGTGTGACGGTCAGGAGGCTCCTCACAGTCGGGGTGGCCAAGTGCTGGGCAGTGCGCTTCACAGTGCCAGGGGACACCAGGGGAAGCTTTTTAATACTACACTGGCAAGAGCAATGACACTGTTAAAGCAGACTCCACTTCAGACTCCCCAACGTTATAAATTAGTGTTGTAAGAGCAGTGGATACGATTCCAGATGGGGGTAAACAGGACTGTGCTCAACTGCACCCATGTCCCTGCAGTGACACTTATTTCAAAATTTAGGTAAGTTATCAAAGTATAAATTTGGGATGAATACATTTCTTATTTTTTGTCCCCTTTTGGGTGATAAAATCAAAAGTACTTGTCTACATTCACAGGTATGGGAAATGTAATGTTCTAACCAAGAAAATTATGGCATTATCTGCCGACATTTTCTATTTTTAAAAAATGAGCATCAATTTGGATTCGCATACACTCAGTAATTCTGTCATGTAGATTTCAGTTTTTAGAAGGGTTTTGTCATCGTGGTACAAGTGGTCTAGGACCTCCTAAGTACCTTCCGTCTTGCCAACTAAGGCGTGTGTCATCAAAGACAAGATGGGACTCCATGGTCCTTGTCTGCAGGGACTGTCTGAACGTCTGTCAGGCCTAGTTTCCGCTCCTTTCATGAAGGAGAAAGGACATCACTGTAGAAGACAAGTCTCCTGTGCACGTGTGGTGTTTGGGGTGTGGCTGAGCCGTCTCTGTGGGGCCAGCACCTGAACACGCGGCTTTCGGCTTCCCAGGATGCCTCACGCGTCTCTTTGCTGCAGACGCTCTTGCTTCCAGGACGTTACTGTTTCCTTTCACATTAGTCTGATGACTTCTGTGGGTGTAAATCCTCACGATCTTATCTTAACTGACCTCCTGGACCTGCTCATGGGCCTCTCAGGGCAGTCCAGCACCCCGTCCCCGAAGGCAGGGTGTGGAGCTGTTGTGCAGAGGACCTCGCAACACATCAGGTCTCACCCAGTGTCATCCATCCTGCCCCACCCCCAGCACCCCCAGCTCATCACACAAGAACACAGAACAGAGCTCACTAACGGGTCCTGTCCCCTTCCTTTCTCCGAGGAAGCCCGTGGGGCTGCACGGAAGCCACCCCAGGGCTCTCCATACCGCCCCTCTCTGCAGGTGGAAGCCCTGGTTCTGGTTTGGCCACGTGTCTCCAGACCAGCAGCCGTGAGAGCGACTCCCTAGCAGTGTTCCTTCATGAGCGTGTTTGAAAAATACTAGTGTTTTAGAGGGAAAGATAAAATACCTGTGGAATAAATGGAGATTTATTTACAGATTTTTTGTTAAAGCCAGCTGGGCTGACATCTTACTTACCACTACATATTGACAGATACGATTCTGCATTAGCCCACTTCCTCGATGTGCTCCACGGGCTGCCGCGTGACAGCAGTTCCAGTGCTCAGTCCCTGAAGGCAGAGAGACAGCGCGTGCTTCACAGCAGACAGTTCACAGAGGCTGCTTTAATAGTTACAAGTGTTTGAAATCAGATTTCAGAACATCTCACATTCATTTCCTGGATTTGTTCGTGTCTACAACTGTTCTCCAAAATGTGTCTAAATTTTAAAAATATGTACGTGTGCAATACCATTTTAAAATTTAAAGGGAAGGAGTTGATTTTCACACAAAGTGTATGGGATTCTTGATTTGGTTAGTAAAAGACAGTTGTGGTGATGACTGGGATCTTCGTGTCTTTATTCGTCCGTGTCTGTCATTGGTTAGGAGCACTGGCAACTGTTCCTCTGAAGATTCGATTCTTCGCTTGAGAATGAGGCAGTTGCTCATGTTACCATGTTCTAGTTGAAGGTCCCCATACAAACATTCTTTTTTGATTCCAACAAGACCTTCCAAAACCTGGGTCATAGTGATAATAGCTGCCTATATCAAGGTTGCTTTATATGACAGGCCCTGTATCTTCACAAACAACCCAGGAGGCGTGTTCTGTTATCATCACTTTTTTACAGATGAATGAAGTGATGGGCTTGCTCAGGGTCACAGCTCGCACGTGGGACTGGCCATCAGAGCTCAGATCCAGGTGGTTCTCACCCGAGGTCACTCTTCCCAGATGCACTCGATACCTCTTCCCTCCATGCCCAACACAGAAAGTGCAGTGTGGAAGAAGTCCAGGAGAGGCCGCGCAAGTCCAGGAGAGGCCGCGCAAGTCCAGGAGGGGCCGCGCAAGTCCAGGAGAGGCCGCGCAAGTCCAGGAGAGGCTTTGCAACTGGGCCGCGAGGCGTGGCTGGCAATTGGAAGAGCGGGATGTGAGCAGGGCCTCTTCCTCTGACCCTCATCCCTACTCCCCCCACCTTCTTGGTGGGAAAAGAGACCCTACAACCATTTGTTGCAAATTGATGTCGCTTTTTAGTGTATCAGTCAGGGTTCTCCAGAGAGACAGAACCAATAGGATATGCTTTAAATATATGAGAAGGATGTACTGGGGGAATTAGCTCATGCGATTGTGAAGAAAAGTCCCACGATAGGCCGTCTATAACCTGGATGCTGGTACTGAGGCTCAGTCCAAGTCCAAAGGCCTCAAAACCAGGGAAGCTGATGTTATCCTTGGCGTGAGTCCTGGAACCCAAAAGCTGAAGAGTCTCGAGCTCTGATGTCCACAGACAGGAGAGAAGAGTATATCCCAACTCCAGCGGGTAGAAAGAAAGATTCACCTTTTTTCTCTTTTATTCTCTTCAGGCCCCCAATGGGTTGGATGGTTCCTGCCCACACTGAGGGTGAGTCTTTCCCACCCAGTCCACTCAAGCTGTCATACTAATCTCTACTGGAAACACCCTGATGGACACACCTAAAAAGATAGCTTTACCAGGTTTCTCGACATTCCTTAATCTAATCAAGTTGGCACCTAGAATTAACCTTCACACTTAGTAAGGCAGGTTTACATCTGCTTCATTTGCTGAACTCACAAAAACAGTGATCCAAGTGTAAAGTCCAGGTTTCCTAAAACATTCTCACAAACTGTTCTCACTCCATCTCAGACTCTTTGCTGCAGCTTCTAGGAACCCTACCTTTCATGAGCCTCTAGAGCTGGAAAGAGGCTGGGTGTGTAATAGGGTCGGGGCCATAGGTGGTCTTTGGGAGGCTGGGAGCCCACTAAATTGTATGCAAAATTTTATGTGCATATGAAGAATTTGGGGAGAGGATTCCTAGTTTTCATCATAGCTTCAAAGTGGTCTATGACCTGAAAAGGGTAAGGTGCCAGGTTGTGGGGTAAAGAATGTGTGCTGGCGAGCTGGGATCAAAACAGGGAGCAGGGAATGCCGTGGAGATGGTCATGGCAGGGGTCTGGAGTGAGGAGACGCCATGCACATATTGGAAGACCTCTCATATGGCAGAAGATGTCACCTGCAGGTCCCAGTTTTTCTACATCAGATTGTCTTGAGGAGAGCCAGTGTCAATTACAACATGACGTGTCCCTCGGTGCTTGTCAGCCTCTTCTTGGTGCTCAGCTGCTGTAGGCAGGGGCATGGAGATCCCGGCTGCACAGCACGCAGCCCCCTTGTGAACTGGCCAGTGGGCTTCAGAAGGCTGTATTCCATGCATCGCTTCAGCTGATCCGAACAAGGACATCTCCTCCAGTGTTGCCAAGACTCCCACTCCCTGGAGTTTGATCACTGCAGCCCCAGGGATCTCACATGGCTGGGGCTAAAATGAAATCAGTCTGCTTCTCAACCCCATTTTCTTCTCCTATTTGGAGACGAGAGGCTTGATTCCTTCATTCAGCGAATGTTTACTGAGCACCACAGTGTGCCAGGCGTTGTGTTGATTGCTAAGAGTGAATGATACAGAAGAGTCATGGACCAGTGCTCTTGCAGCTTATGGTCTGGCCTGATGAACACCTGCCTTTTCTTTGTTCAGTGCCCCCCAGAGAGCTTCCTGGTTCTGTGCCACCCCCCACCCCACCCGTCATTATGTCAGCTAGACTGGCGGCTTTCATAGGGTCACCCACTAGACGCAGTGTTGGTCACATGTTCAGGTGGATCTTACCTACTCTTGAAAGTATTGCCCATAGGAGAATAACACATGTACCGAGCAGCATGATCATACATGGTCCATAATCTCATAAGTATTTCTAACAGTTCTAAGAACTGGCAGGGCCAGCTTTGCAAACCATTTCCTGGCAGAGGCTATAAAGAAGTTATCAATCCTTTATGCTTGGCTGCTGGAACTAAGTGTGATCCCCAAGATAAGAGGGACAATCTGCACACATCCTCCCGACCCGCAAGAGGCAGCCACCCCGCCCTGGCTCCCGGGCAGAGGCCGCCCTTGTGCAGCTGCCCTGCTCTGTGCCCTCTGCAGCTGGAAGGTATCTACTCTGCTTCGACACTTAAGTCGTTGTTTGTAGAATTCGTGACTGGAAATCACTTTCCTACTGAAATCTTTAGACAGTTTTTTTTAAAAAGGGACAATGTGGGACAGAAAGGGCACAGTGCCGGGTTGACATCCTTCAGTAGGTGAGAGGGATGGGGGCTGGTGCCAGGTGGAGGACAGCTTTGGACGGGCACACAGACGCTCTCTGGCCTGCAGGTGCTGGTGGGTGGGTTGGTGGTGGTGGCAGCTGTGGACGTTCTGATGGCTTCAGATTTCTCAGGGAAGGAAGAGTGGGCAAGGCAGCATCTGCTGAGTGAGGACGGAGGAGGAGGAGGTGTTGGGATATGAAGGGGGAAGAAACAGTGGGAAATGTCGCCCAGGAGGGAGAGTGACACGTGCTTGTCCAGCTTCAGCATGCTCCAGAAGTCACGGGAGGACTGGTTAGGACAGAGTGCTGGGCAGGCATCTGATGGGTCTGGGATAGGGTCCGAGAGTTTGTGTCTCTAGCAAGTTCCAGGGTGATGCTGGTGCTGCTGGTCTGGGGACTCCAGACTTCAGGAAAGCACAGGTTCTTCTTCTGGCTTCTCCGGTTACTCCAGAACTGCGTGGGAGTGCGGATGGCAACCCCGAGGGCCATGGGGTTGTAAATGTGGGAGACCAGTCAGTGGCTTTTATGTTTCTCTCCAGCCATGTGCAGCTTGCTGCTGTTTGTCTGAATGGCTTTTTGCTCTTGTTTGGGTTTAGTTCTTATTTTCTGTGCTAGAGGATACGCACAGAGTTTCATGCTGCAGAAGGCTGCCCAGAGCTGTGAGCGGACACCAGAAGGACTGGAAATTCTGACTCGTGATGTGGGTCATGGCCACGTGGGAGGATGTGGCTGGACCTTCAAGTTGGGGAACCGCTGGGGCCACCTTCTGTGACTGGTCAGTCTCTGCCAAGCCGTCTCACAGTCCCTGACTGCAGGGTGGTCAGAGGCAGTGGAGGCAGAGGGCCGGGAGGCACCTCCACTTCTGGATGGCACTGTGACCTTAGCTCTGGGCCCAAAACCCTCTATTTTACTTTTTTGAGAAAAAAAAAAAGCATCCATTTTTTTATCCAAGCCCCAGTGTGGGGCTTCTTCTCCCCGTTGCCGTTTGGCCTGGGACACCCACACACATGCTGGCTGTCCCTGCTCCCGCAGGCTTTGAAGGGCCAGGCAGCGCCAGCACTTCTGAGCCCACGGGGGTTTCCGTACAGTAGTTTTCTGGGATGCTCCCCGAGCTGCACTGAGGACTGTGTGGCCGCTGTGCTTGTCACCTATTGAGCAGAATGTGAACATCCCTTTATCCCTTGCCACCGTCATCAGTGTCATCATCACGTGTGAACACTGTGCTCAGGGACTAGTGAGGGCAGGCACTCTTTGCTGCACTAACCACCCCAGCCTACTCTGCTTTTTTGAACATTTCTCACATTGAATTATCTTGCTAACACCTTGATTTTGTGATTTTTGTCCTATTTATTTTTGCCAAATGGAAAAATTCCCAAATTGAGAACATCGAGTGTTTACAAGACACCACAGTCTTTCAATCGTTTCACATCACGATCTTGGGACAGTTCTGCAGATGGCTCCATGTCTCAGCCATCTCTGGAAGAGCAGACCTTAGAGGCCGAGCTCAGGAGGAGGTGGCTGCGGAGGAGGCCGAGGACCGAGGTGGGACTTGCAGTGGCGAGAGTGCAGCAGACAAGAGCCAGTGACCTGTCCCCACATCGCCTCCCCCAGCACGAGAAGCATCGGGCCCCACAGACGCCTCATGCCTGTGCCTGTGCCTGACTGAAGTCCTTTATTCCACACCCAGAGACAAGCTGCAGGACCGAGTGCTCGGGCAGATGAAGGTGCGGTTTCCTTGGTAACCCAGTCGGCTCGTGGAGACTGCGAGACGCCTGACGTCACACTCTCTGGGTTCCAGTCCCGGCTTTGCCACTTTCAATTCTGCCTTTTAGGGTTTGGGGGAGGATTAAATAAAATAATCGGAGTAATGCACGTAGCATCATTCAATAAATGTTACCGTACTGTTAAATTAGGGATTAAGTAACTGACATCGGACAATTTTTTAGAGAAAAAGTTTTTAATAATGGACCCGGTTGCCTCTGTAGCAGGCACCCATTAGAGAGCAGCGGACAGCCCCAGGGTCAAGGAGCTTCTGTAGGCTCTGTCCGCCGGCCCAGCGCCACTCCCTGTTCTGCTGGGATAACGGCCCCTTCCTCAGAGACCTGCTCTTCCCACTTAGACGCTGCGGCGCCAGCACAAATGCACCCCACATATGGCCAGCTCTTCTGGAGAGACATGGTATTTAATTTAAAATTAGCACATTT